GAGAGAACCGATTTACTGAATTTATCAGTACTGACCGACAAATTACCAAACAACTGATTGTATCTGTAAAAATTTCGCAGAACAGCGAAGCCACGCGCATTCTTTGTGAAAACTCTGAAGCGAAAAGTTGATTTTATTTGGAAGCGGCATAGTAATCTAACTAAAAATCAAAGATAAGTGCAAAATGAAAAAAAGAGCTTTTCAAAACTCCCTAAATAAGGAAAAGATTATTTTCGAGTCCAATATTAAAAAATATAGGGAATTCGCAGAATGTGCGGGAAATGTGAAGAAAAGTGAATTCGCAAATAAAATAAAATATATTAATAGTGATTGTGCCGATAGTGAATTTCTCCTCAGGGGAGACGTCGCATCAGGCCCTGTACTGTCTGCGTCTACGGGTTCTGATTTTTCAATCAACTGTGATGGAGAAATTTTAGGGGGTGATCCAGTTGCACCATCTTTACCGTCTGGATCGTTGCGTGATCCATCTGATCTTGATCATGAATTAGAGTTTGATTCAGTCGAACTTGATCCTGAGCCGTTAGCTTCAGGATCTTTAGATAACTTAGGTTCTGAGTTTGAACAAAAAAGTGAAGAAATTAGGCTATGGGCCATTAGGAACAATGCATCTCAAAATGCATTAGACGATTTGCTTAAAACTTTGCGCAGAATAGGAGTTGAAGGTTTGCCGCTTTCGGCCAAAACTCTCCTAAATACAAGCAGACAAAAGGTTAGCGTTAAAAATATTCCCAATGGCGAGTTTTTATACATAGGTATACAGAAGTATTTTTTATCGAACTCATTCGAAAATATGGAAGAAGTCTTAATCGATGTAGGTATTGATGGCTTACAACTCTTTAAAAGTTCGAATCGAGTTTTGTGGCCCATACTTGGAGCTCTTTCAGACTTCCCTAATGTGAAACCATTTATGGCCGATTTTTGCTCAGAAGTGACGTTTTTGAGAGAAAACGGGGTTAAAGTTGGTCAAAACCAAACATTAAAAAAGTTTAATGTTCGTTTATTTTCTTGCGATTCTCCAGCTAGGGCGTATGTTACAGGTATTATGTCACATAATGGTAAAAATGGTTGCCCCAAATGTTGTCAGGAAGGATTGTATAGAGATAGACGGGTGTGTTTTTTGAAAACAGTTGGTCCACTTAGATCAGATATAACTTTTGAATTGAGAACTAATACCTCTCACCATGTTGCCGAATTTAAAGAAAAAAAGAGCGTTTTGGAAGAAGCAGGTTTTGGAATGGTATCCCAATTTCCTCTAGATTCTATGCATTTAGTCGATTTAGGAGTCACTAGAAAATTGCTGAAACTGCTTTTAAAAAAGGCTAATATAAAAAATATAAATCAAAAAATAAAACATGTTGCTCAATTTATTCCATCTGAATTCGGTCGTGTATCTAGAAGCCTTGATGAAATAAATCATTGGAAGTCCACTGAATTTAGGCAATTTTTGTTATACACAGGAATATTTCTTTTAAAAGATTGCATAAATAATGACTCATACTACCTTTTCTTGTTGTTGCATAGCGGTATAAGACTCCTATCAAGTGAGAAGTCGTGTAAGACAGAGGCCAACGTTGCCCAATCACTCTTAAATGATTTCGTAAATTATTTCGGTAGCATATATGGTGATGAGTTAGTTAGCTTCAATATCCACGGCTTGCTTCATTTGTCAGATTGTGTCAAACAGTTTGGCCCTTTAGATTCCTTTTCAGCGTACAGATTCGAAAACTATATGCAGTTCCTTAAAAAACTGGTTAACAAACCCAATCAAATTTTACAGCAAATATATTTAAGGCTCAATGAGAGACAAGGACTTAATTCTGATTTTAACAATACTTCGATTGGATCATTTCAGATAAATCCTCTTAAAGAAAAAGATTGTTTTTGTTTTAGTCCAAAAATTGGACCTTTGAAAGCTCTTAACATTATAAAGTCATCCGAGTCAGATAAAATTCATTGTAACGCTTTTCAGACAATAGAAAATTATTTTGAGGAACCTCTTCTTTCCGCCAGGGGTCTGGGAATAGTTTTCGCTAGTAATTTAAGTTCTGAAGTAGTTGAAGTTGCTATTGAAGACATTGACTATAAGTACTTTTGTATCCCTCACACTGGAAAATTTCTTCTGATTCCTCTCTTGCACAATTTGTTTCACGATTTTTCATACAATACCGCACATTCTGTTTGAATTAAATAAAACAAAAACATAAATTTAATAAAGTTATATAATTTTACATGAGCTTCAACGTTAGCAATCTTTTTGAAAGCTCCATCTTCCAAGACAGTCAGGAGCGAAATGGTAAGCGAAACCAATTTTCTTTGAGTTACAAACATGTTTGTAAATTTTTCTTGGCATAGATCTTGAATCAATAATTCAAAAGAGGTGCTACACGACCACAAATGCCAATCATATGCAGGCAACCACATCTTCACCAATGAGCCCAGAAATAGCTGAGGCACCTGCAGCATTCAATGAAGGTAATTTAAAATTTTCCGCTGAATTCAAGTTAATTAAATATTTTGTTTCATTTCAGAAATGATGGGAATGCTAAAGGAAATTTTAGAAAACCAAAAGGAGCTTGCAGCAAAGATGACGACGTTGGAAGCCAATGTGTGTAAATGTTTTTCATACTAAATAAATTTTTTAATTAATATGTCCTATATTTTAATAAATACCATAAAAATCCAGGTTCAAACTTATTTTAATATAATACTGTGAAAATTCGCTAAAAATTCTTATTAAAAAGTTTGAAATTTTGATGAAAATTTGCAGAATTATTCTAAACTTCGTACATAGTTTGAAATTTGGATTTTTATGGTATTTATTA